CTTTTTCATTTGGTCAGTTCTATTTTTTAAGCAGTTATTTTCTACAGTGAATGTTTGTGTATCTTTTTTTTCCATTTTTTGGGTTTCTTTTTACCAGTATGTTGATTCTTTTTTTATGATTCCCTTGCATTACTTTGATTTCTTTACCTAATTTTTTCTTTTACTTTTACTATTTATTATTTAAAATCCTTTTAAAGCTCTTCCAATAGTTCTTTTTTTGGGCCTGAGACCATTTTACATTTTTCTCTGAGGCTTTTTACATTTAGCCATTTTGACACTGTTGTCCTCTTCTAAGTTTGTGCTTTGTTTTCCTCCCTGTCACCATAGTAATTTTCTATAGTTAAGTTCTTTTTTTGTTTTTTTTTTTTTGCTCATTTTTTTCTGTCTATTTTTGTACTTGGTACTTTTATTTAAGAGTTGGGCTCTGCTCCTGCACTATCCCAAATTTCTTGTACCAAGGCTTAGAGCCTTGCTGCTTGGGCCTCAAGGCCTAGCTTGCACTGAATGGGGGGGGGGGCCCTCCCTGCTAGCTTGTTTGAGAGGCAGGGGCCAACCTGCTGGTCTGCCCAGGGGTGGGATTTCACTCCTGGCAGGCCATAGGGTGTTGGCCAGGCCCCGGGTGCAGGGTCTCACTGCTTGGTGCTCCTTGGGGTGGGGCCTCACTACTGGTTAGCAATGTGGTCTGAGTCATGCTATGCTGCTGGTCTGGGACTGCTGACTTGTCTCCAGGGCCTCTTGCTTACAGAAGGTTAAGACCTTGCCTAGTGGCTTGTCCCAGGGCTCAGAGACTCGCTGCAGGTCCCCCTGAGGTGCAAACTGTCACTACTGCTTGCTTACCTGGTTCAGTCCCACTCCTGTGAGACAGACCTGTCTTGTCGTGCTGGTAAGTTGCTTCCCCATTCCTAAATTGGTTCCAGGGTGTTTTTTAAGGGTATTTGGGGGGAGTTTGGGAGGGTTCCAGAAATTTTCTTCCTCACTTTTTCGTTTTGGTACTGGAAATCTTGAATTTGATTTTTAAAATCTTTTTTGTGCTCTTTCAGGAGTTCTTTTTGGACCTGAAACCAGTTCACATTTTTCTTTGAGGTTTTGCATGTAGCCATTTTCCACATTGTTGTCGTCTTCTGAGTTCTTCTTTTGATCTGTCAACATAGTAACTTTCCATGATCAGGTTCTTGTTTTGTTGTTGTCGTTCATTCTTTCCAAGCCTATTTCTTGACTTTTAATGTTAAAGTTGTGTTCTGCTCGTAGGGTGGAGGGGGCACTTTCCCAAGTTTCAGGTTTCATGTGCTGCTTTTTTCAGAGCTACCTCCTAGGACCTGTAAGTTTTTGGTTTTTCTAAGGTGGTATGATCTAAGGAGAGGGTTGGACACTGTTCTTCTGGCCTGTGCTCTGGTCTGTGAGTGACCACAAGCATTCTCTTTCACCCTGTTCCTGTGACCAGAGTTTCTACTCCTCTGTGACCATATGCTCTAATGCAGCACTTCTTAAGCTGTGTGTTGTGACCCACAGTTTAAAAAGTGCTGAAAGGGTTGTGAGTGGAAAAAGTTTAAGAAGCCCTGCTCTGATGTGCACTCTGGGACTGTGATGTGGGTCTGTGAATGGCTTCCCTGTTTGCACAATGCAGCAGAGTCCGGCATTCAAGTGTCAGCAAAGTTTCCACCAGTGCCTTTATCGTCTCTGGGCTGAGAGCTAGGAAAGTGACTGCTATTGATGCAGTTGCCCCCAAGGCCTTTACTGGATTGCTGGGATGAGTCCTGCTGCTAGCTTGTGGGCTGGGGAGCAGGACCTTGCTGCTGCCTTGCTAGGGTGTCACCTGCTGCTGGCTTTACTGGGCAGGCTGGGCTGGACAGCATTCCACTCTTATGTCAATGAGACAGACGTCTCCTGTCAACCTTCTAAGTTGTTCTGAGCTGGAAAGTTGTTTTACCTTGTCCTTTTGTTGGTTCTGCCTCACCAGAATCCATTTTGAGGTGTTATTTTAAAGTTGTTGGAGGGGAATCTGGAAGATAGAAAGGGGAAAATTATAAGAAAATAAATACGTGGAAACAAAAGTGGGACCAGTATATGGCAAGTTATGTATTTATCATTATCGGTTTTAATGTATTTCATTGAAAGTTGTTCAGATATTTATCTTTATCTTGGTTTTTTAAAGATATGACCCTTAAATTAATTTTTTTTAAAGATGTCACATAATAGATGTCATTTAGCAAGCACTTAATATGCACAACTAGTTCATATGTATTTATAGCTTAACAGAAAATTTTTAAAAAGGTTAAAAGCTTGAATGCTCACATCCAATTTTATGTATGTTTTCATTTAAATTTTTCTCCTAGAAAAATTAATTTTAAATATGAGCATATGCCTTTATTTTAGTTTATCTTGATAGTATTGGCCCAATAAATACAATTTATGCCTATTGCATGAAGACTAGCTAAAGTTTAGAGGCTCATCACCATGTTTCTTAAAATAACTCTTAAAAGACTATCTTTCTCAGTTATAGAGAGGTTTTACTCTGCATTAATGAAAGGAGGACCTGCACTGATGAAATCACAGATCCTTAAAGTATTGAAGATATCTTTGTTAATAATAACAAATAGCACAACAACTCAGATTTATACAGTACTTTATGGGTTATATAACCCATCTTGCATAAAAACATTAGTGTTTTTATTTCACAAGCCTTATGAATTTGGTAGTAAAAGTAGTAGTACCTCCATTTTACAAATGAGGAAAATAAGACTCAACATGGTTAAATGACTTGCTTAGGGTCATAACCTGTAAGTGGGATTCAAGCCAGTTCTGTCCTAACTCCCAAGTCTACAACTCTTTCAACTATACCTTACTTACTGCATCTTGGTTTATGGAATTATTTAATAACTTAAGAGCATGTTATTCTAGACCCTTAAAAATTAACAAAAACTAGAGTTTTAAGTATAGTAGTACTTTCAGTCTTTGGAATAAATGAAATACTATTTCAGCTGATTTTTTTTTTCCCTACTGGCTCCTACCTTCTCTGGGAACATGTAGAATCTTCTTTACCTCTGTCCTATTCTTTGCTTCCCAATTCTGGTCAGTCACAGAGTCCTAGTCATTATAAATTTGTGCATTCCCTTAGATCCATTTTTTTCTGTCCATTTCCTTGCCACCATCCTAGTTTGGGCCCTAATTTTCATCTCAACTACTACAATACTCTTGGATTTTGAGCAAGAAACCACCTCAATGTCAAGTCTAACCTTATTTTACATATGAAGAAACTGATGATTAGAGAAGATACATGTCTTGCTAAGGGTCAAACACATAAGTGTCTCCAGTGAGATTTGAACCCAGTGCTTCCGGATTCTGAGTCCAGGCTTTTATCCACTACTCCTTCTTCTCTCTCCTTTCTTCTAACTAGTCTCCCTCTCTATAATCCATTCTCCCTCTAATTTATCTTCTCAGGCTTTGCCAGAGTAATCATCTTAAAGAATTTTAATTTATTTGCTAGGCGAAAAGCATTGTTCAGAAACCTTCAGTTGACCTGACATTATTCACTGAAGAAGGTCTAAATTCCTTTGCTTCATGCACCTTCCCTGTTTGTATCTTAGTGATTTTATTTCCTCCTCCCCCCTTCCTGGCAAACAGATTAACTATTGATCTGTGAACGCTCGTGGTTTCTTTCCCCTGCTCAGTTGCTAATGCTGTGCTTTATACCTAGAATAATCTTTCCCTGAGTTTCATCTTATGGAGAAACTTACATATCATCTACTCCATGTAGTTTTGCCTGTTTTCCTCATCACAAGTAATTTGTGCCTCCTCTGAATTACCATAGTACTTTGCATCTGGACTTTTATATCATCTTATCTTGCCTACTAGCTTTTAAATGAGATTTGGGACTGTGTTTATTCTTTTTAAGTATTTAACTTAGAATGCCTGTGGGGTGGAGAACTTGGAGCCTTTGGTTCTCTAGTATGGCCCTTTGACTGAATACAAACTTCACAGAACAAATCAAGTTTGTATTCAAAGGGCCTCACTTGAGGACCTGGAGGGCAACATGTGGCCTCTAGGCTGCAGATTCCCCACTCCTGTTCAATGCCTTGTGTATATATAACAGTTATTCAGTAAATATTGATTGAATAAATATTTTAACTGGTTTCAGAAATAAAAATTTAGATAGACATCTAAGAAAATTATTGTTAGTCCTTTCATTCTTGAAGAGGACCAGTGACATCACAAGGGACTTCAAAAAACAATTTATTTAAGAATGAATTTTATTCTAGGTGCTGGTATGCACATACAACTTTGTGAATACAAACTTGTTTTTAGAACTTTTGGTCACTACCACACTGAATTTGGCAACTAGGATGAGATTATTAAACTGAGATAGAGCTAAATACAAATTAAGCCTGCCATAAACACACTCATTCTACTAGAAATCCGGATTTTATTTTTGCACAAGTAATGCCACCTATTACTTGTTTAGCAAAAAGTACTATGAGATAACATGTACTTTTTTGTATTATTTAGAAAAGAAAAATAATAAATCATTACATAGGTTTAGAAGAAAAATCCCATATTGCATATAGATGAAAGTATTTATATGAATGTTCCCAGAATGTGCATTGTAGAATAAAATATATCTGTTCTTGAGAACTTGGTTGATTTTTCAATATTCTGATGTTCTTACTGTTTTAATCTGAACACATACAATTACAAACTCAGATTTCATCTCAGCTAAAAGAGTATCAACAGGAAACTGTTGAATAAATTCCTTTGGCTTTTTATTAAATAGAGCCCTTGTACTTCGAATTTCAAATCAGCCACTTGGCACAAATAACTATAAACAGCTCAGAATAATTTAGGGGCTTGTTGATATTCCTTTAATAATGATCTTTTGACAGTTATTCTTTTCATTTCTTTTTCAATACTTTGGGTCTTTAGATAGTTCGTGCTCAAGTTTCATGAAATAATTGTAGAACCAGTTAATTACTGTCCATCTTCATTTGTTTATTTTTTATTTACAGGGAAATTGCTTTTACCAGGCAACTTCATGAGAAAACTTTTCAACTCAGTTATTACTATATGGGTTTCTACATTCACTCTTGCCCCAAAATGAGATATAAGGTAAGGTTCATTCTATTCACAACATTTGGCAACTATACATTTAAGTCAGTGAATTTGATTTTTTAATTGATTGTGTTAATACTGTGATACTGTATTGTATTTTTCATCATGCCATATAACTTAATATTAGCATGATCTAAAACTCATTACCCTTAAGTCTTATCTTAAGAAATCAAGATTCATTTTATGGTTTAGCAGAACTTTGTCTATTCTTTTCCTTTAGGACTGAGATAATCTGCATTTCCAGAAATGTAGCCAGTCAGTAGTGCTCAGTAAAGCTTCCTTTAATATTACTAGCTAAACCTCAAAATCTTCATTGGATCAATCTTCTTTTTGACCCTGCTATATTCTTTACTTTCATTTACCTTTGAGTTTACATATAGTTTAAGAAGAACTCAAAATTTTTATAAAGAATGTTTAGATATTCACGGTTCTCATACTGTCTACATTTTCCAATCATATGAACTTTTCAGCTTTTCGTTTTTTCTTTCAACTAGAAGTGATCTCTTCTTCTTCTGAATTTTCAGCCCTTTATACCTCTTTTTTGTAATTTATAGTTTATATTGTGTCATAATTACTTTGTACGTTTCATATCTCCTGCACTAGATTTTAATCTTTTGAAGACAGAGACTGTGTCTTAGCTTTGTAACTGTCTTACGCACAAGACGTGCTCAATAAATATTTGTTAAATGAGTGAATAAAATGTACACTGAAACTTCATTATAGTATTTTTAGTTCATCCTTGAAACATTCAAGATTAATAGTTTTACAGAAAAAGTCCATTTGGTATTTCTGCATTTAGGAATAGGACCTCGACCTATGATTTCAGGGAATTTCTCCATGAGGAAAATCTCATTATCAGTGCAGATTATCCTCTTCTCTGTAATTGTATAGTTTTAGAGAGTTGCCTGGACTACTGAGAAGGTTGAGTGTCTTGACTGCAGTCACAGGTATTATGTATTAGAAGTGGAATTTCAGTCTAGGTCAGGCCTACACAACCTGTGGGCTGCAGGTTGTGTAGGCCTTGTCTGGGTCTTTCTGGCTTCAATTCTAGCTCTTCAATCCACTATATAATATTGCCTCTCACTTTGGTAATTAAATAGGAGGAAATCTTAAAAGAACTTTGATAAGACCCTTTAATAAAATCAGCATATATTTTGATACTCATTGATGTCAGTGCAAAAGTGGGAATAGATGAAGATGGTAAAAAATATCTTGAAAAATGTAGATCTGCAACAGGAAATGAGAGAAACCCAAGATATATAATCTAAACAGAAACCTCACCTGTATTCTCCTCCTGGCTTTGAACCTGACTTTCCAGACTTCAAAACCATGTCTTAGCTGCTGTATCATCCTGGAACTTCCCTCAGCACCTGGGGTGTCATTGCCCTAGATTACAGGGCTTCTTAAACTTTTTCCCACTAGCAGCAGCCCCTTTTCAGTTTTAGCAGCGTTAGTTGGCATTGCATGGCTTGAGCACAGTGCAAAGTGCACATGTTTTGTATTTGCCAGATACAACTCGGGGCAAGCCCTGCAAGAAACACTTCTGATTCCTTATGCATTTGATTTTTAATTACTTTTTGGTTGTTATGTGTTCAGAAATCTTTTACTGTTGCCACATTTTTTGTGACCTACAGTTTAAGAAGTGCTATGCCTAGAACATTCAATTATATTGATCACTGTCTCCTTGGGTCTCCATTTTGTGGAGGAGCTCAGACCATCCAAACTTTGTTTTCTTTCTGGCTCTGCTCCTAACTTTCTGGCTTTAAAACCATGCCTAATGTACTGTCTTATCCTGGAACTTCCCTTACCTAGCCTCCTGAGCATGAAAATCTGTAATAGTCTTTTGAATAAATGGGAAACTATAGATTTGTCATATAGTTAATTTTTTACTTCATAATGAATAGTGTTATGAGTTTCCAGTATTTACGACTTAGCATAGTAATTGCTTCAATATCTTTTGTAGAAATGTTATTTCCAAGTTTTTTATGTTATCTTCAGAGGAATGTGGGGTGTTTACGGAGGACTAGCACCTCTGATGTGAGGGCTTGTTAAGCCGTTTTCAGGGCTGCTCATCCACCTTTGGTATCCACCTGCCACCCGACTTTCACCTGTGTCTCTAAGAAGCCGTAGCATGCACAGCTGTTCCTCAGTAAACCTTTTCTGCAGATAGGCTAAACCAGGTTGAGAGTAACTGATGGTTCTCAAATCTGTTGTTGAGTTAGGGAGTGTCTATCCCAAGCATGTGAAGACTTCCCCTGGTGGAATGGGCAGATGAGAACAATTTATTTCAGTGGGCCTGAAGGTGGCTGAAGCAGGCATTGTGGAATGTGTAGAGCTTGGTCAGACATCAAAGACACCAAAATCATCCACTGCATCCTGGGCCATCTCCAGTTGTCTTGACTCTTGTCTTGCCACTGAACTTCAGTGACTCGGACAAAGAGAGTGGGGCTGACATCTTTGTGCAACTCTGCCTCACTTAATCCAATTTATGCAGGAGTCAGGTCATCACCCCATGATGTCATTATTCCTCTTTGAAAGGATGAACAGCAAAAATGTTATCTTCACACCAGTCAGCAAATAATGATTGCTATTAAGCATTTTGTGAATTGCAAATCATTTTATATACATTATCTCATTGGATCCCAATACTCCTGTGCATAGAGACAGGGGAGAAGGGATCGAGAAGACAAGCTCTGTTGGCTTACAAAGAAATGTAACACACTGTTCCTGTCTCTGTTGGGGCTTAGAGTTCCCTGTGTTGTGGAAACAGAACGCGCATACAAAAGGACTGGTAACTATAAAACAATAGTGTGTACTATGTTGAGTGATTTAGTACAGGAAAAAATACTTTATAATGTCAAGGGAAGATATGATAAGGACTGGATTAGTAAGAGAGATGTCATGGAGTAATGGGACTTGAACTGTACCTTGAACAAAGGTAACCCTTAAACTGAAGGAGGGATGTTGTTCCAGACAGGGAGAACACGTATTCAGGCAGCATTGGCTGCTCCAGTTTGGCAGAGGATTTATGTAAATGAATGATGGAAGATCAAACTGGAAAAATAGGAGCATGTATTATGGAGGACATTAAATGCTAACAAGTTTGTACTTAATTCTGTACACTACAGAGCAGTTGACGAATTTTGAATTGAGTAAGGAAAGATTGATGATAGGTTTAGAACTCAGGTGGAATCAGTATTTAGGTTTGAGCATTTCCTGTGTTGCATTTTGCAGTTCACTTAAGCTGTCTTCACTTCAGCTTCCTCATTTATAAAATGAAAGGAGTAGATGAGATGACTGCTGAGATCCCTTCCAGCTTTACTTCTGTGATCCTGTGATAGTCATTTTTAGGATGAATTGAAGGGCAGAGAGGCACAGACAAGAAGGCCACCAGGGTAATACTTGTAGTGAGCACCTGGAGCAAGGTGAGGCTAGTGGGAACAGATAGGAAAAAACAAAAAAGGAAGACTCCTAGGCGTTAGTGACTTAGTAGATGTAGAGGGAGAAATAGAAGAGTCAAAGATGATTTTCTGGATGGGTGAGGTGAATGATGGTAACATTGACAGAAGTGGAGAAGTCCAAAGAAGAGTCTTGGTTTTGGGGGGAAAGATGTTTTTTATATATTAGTCATAGAGAGTTTGAGATAATGTTGAGATACTCAAAGAGAGATATTAAACAGATGATTGGATGTCTGTTATGAGTTATAAAAATATTGATTGAATGAATAAATAAATGAAAAAGAATTTGTTAAATGTTTACCCTGTGTGAAACACTGGGAATACATAAAAAATACCAAGATGTCCCTTTTCTTAAAAAATTCACAGGAAGTTTTAGGTGCAAAACAGAAGGAAATATTGAGTGGTCCTTAGCATTCAGCGGCGAAGCAGATTATAATTCATCCTCTTTAGAATCATTGCCATTGATAAAACCATATTCATTGAGCCTTATAATAGTAGGGTGGTAAGAACTTTATTTTCTGTTGATAATAATTGAGTATCAGCAATGAATTCAGTGTTTCATAAGGTCATTATATATTTGATTTATGAAGAAGAAAGAACTCAATGCCTTTTTCTTTGTCAAGATATTTTTCAAGGGTTAACATCAGTGATGAAGTATGTTACATTGTATATATCCAGATATTTTTTCATAGCCTTAGTTTAAAATACTGAAGAGCTCTATTTACAAGGATGAAAACTGCTCAAATTATTATAATATTGTATAGGTGAAATGAGACTTGGGTAATCCAATATAGTCTCCCTTTTATGCAGGACTTTAATCTAAAAATTTTGGATTTAAGATTGTGTACATCCTAGTCTTCTAAAATTTTCGGAGAAGATAATTGTATATCTCCCTGATACTCATTTTAATATTATCATATTTTCCTTGAGCAAAATTTTCATTTTGTTTAAACTAAATTCTTATTAATATAAATTTTGCATTTTACTTCTCCTGTAATTAGTCTATCTGATGGTAACTGGTGAATTAAAAATAAAACTGGTAAATAATAAAATAAAATAAATATAAATTTAATAAATATATAATATTTACATATTATTACATATAATATTTATATTATAAATAAAAAAACTGGTCAATTTTTATTACATAAAATATAAACAATTTTTACACAAAGGGAAACAATTAAAACAAAGTGAAAAAAATCTTTGTAGCAAGTTTCTCTTTGAAAGTCTTATTTCCAAGATATGTAAGGAACTGAGTTAAATTTATAGGAAAAAGAGCCATTCCTCACCTGATAAATGGTTTAAGGATATGAACAGGCAGTTCTTAAGTGGGGATTGGCAAATATGGCAAGAAAAGAAAATGAAAAATGGTATAAGGGCTGTGGGAAAACAGGCACATTGATATATTCTTGGTGCATCTTTTAATGGGTACAGCCATTCTGGAAAGCTATTGAGAATTATACACAAAATTATATTAAACCTGACCTTTGACCTGGCAATAAAAATGCCAGGCCTATATTCAAAAGAGATCAAAGG